TTGGCTGTTGTTTAGAGTTTCTCGAAAACTGATTTTCCAGAAAACCGGTCTTTGAAGGCCTAGCAGCAGCATTCATGGTGATATTCGGAATCAGCATCGTCGACTACCTATAGTCCACTCGGTTTCGTTGAAAAAGCGATTTATCAGTTGGGGTACTTCCCTCGTTAGTTGCTCTTCGTTCATACATATATATTGATATATACGAGTAATTATTTCTTTTCTGTTTTATTGATACTATCTTTTTTTCTGAACAACGAACACTAAAAACCGAAGATAGTGAAAGGTTTACTTTCTTAAATCAACTTCTAAAAAAAATTTCCCAGGCTACAAGAAAGCAGGAACCAAAAGCAACATGTGAAAATAAATGTGGATATAATCAGCTATCACCACCACTACGAATTAATCAAAAACAGCAGGGGCCATTTTCCTATAGAAATCCTAGCCCCCTTCCAAAGGCCCTGATAACCTTGTGTTTTTGACAGGAAAAATATTCTATGCAGGACTCTTTTCATATCTTGTTCTCATTAACTAGAGGCTTCTAACTGAGAAGAGAATTGTCGCTGTGAGAAGAGGCCATTCTTTATAGTTAATATCAAGTTAGACAACAGATCTTTATTGACGTATTCTTCTAAAGTCTAAAGCTACAATAAGAATGCTGGTGACATTGATGCATTTTCATTCAAATCTCCTTATTATTCGACTTAGTTGCTCTTCGTTGATCGGAGAAAATGGCGGTTGATTTATCATTGATTAGTGTCACCTTATATCATCTGTGTCCAATATTAATTGTATTTGGAACACTGGGTAATTTAATTAATATACGTATATTTTTAACAAAGGAATTGAGACAACATTCATGTTCAATGTATTTCATATTTGAATCAGCAGCAAGTTTATTGTATGTATGGTTGATTATAACAATCCGATATTTTGCTGAAGTATATCAGATGAGTTTTTTTGTTTATACAACTCAGTCCTGTGGATTCTACTATTATAGTGCCTATGCCATAAGACAATTATGTTCATCATTATATGTTCTCGTATCTGTTGATCGCTACTTTTCATCTTCTTCCAATGTTCGATTCAGACAATTTAGTGAAGTGAAAACAACTCGCTATACAATACCTATAGTTATTCTTACTGCATTTCTCATGTACCTGTATTTGCCTGCCTATTACAAACTTTCTCGGACTCCGTCGGGTACATTTGTCTGTTCCATACCAGATAGTGCCATTAATCAATTTACTTTGATGTTCTTTACAACTCTAACAGTAATATTAACAACGTTATTATTACTTGTATTTAATGTATTGACATTAAAAAACATTCGTCGTCATCGTCATCAGCTGCATGTAACAACCAATAATTTGAGTTTACACCGCCGACGTGACAGACAGATGATAAAAATCATGCTATATCAAACATTTCTCTATCTTTGTTTATGTTTACCTCAATTACTCGTAGGCACCTATGCATCATTTATTACACCATTAACCATCACCATAGCATTTTTTGCAAAACTCTTTTTATTTGTCTCATTTCTTAATTACGTTTGCCGATGCTTCGTTAACACAACAGTAGCACCAATGTACCGACATGCATTATTTAAATTACTAAATCGCTGGTGGAAAAAATTATTTTGCGATTCAACACTGATTGAACGATATTTTTTGGTTCAACAGCATCAACAACGAACACAATTTACACAAACACGTATCAACCCAACAAAAAGAATCTTTAGCGCCACAAGTGGTGTACAGGTGCGCACCATCGTCGAATGATTTTGTTTCTGGGCAACGTTGCGGGAGATTTTTACATTTTTGTGACAAGAATGACCAGTAGTGCCACACCTTCTTTTTAATATTAAACACTAGAGAAAAATGAAAAATAACACTTCATATAGACATTGACAAAATTAGTTGTACTAATTCCATAATCATTTTTCTTCAGCGTAGAAGCTTTCGTTTTATTTCGTATACATAGATATATACGAGTAATTATTTCTTTTCTGTTTTGTTGATACTATCCTTCTTTCTATACAACCAACACTATTGTTTGTCAGTATTTATTTAGCTGAAGATGATTTACGAAATAAATCTGAAGCTGCTACGTTGTAGAAAAATCATTGTTGAATTAGTGCAACTACTTTTGTCATTATTAATTTTATTACCGATATTGCAATAAACTCTATTACCTAAGAAAAATACGAGATTGCCCTAGTGAGAAACTTGCTCGAATCTTCTTAAGATCTTAGTAAGATGTCGCTTACATTTGTCTCTAGACACGTCTCGACGATCCTAGAGGATCATAAGACTCATATTCTAAGATTTGATAAGATAATTCTAAGATCTTAGCAAGATCATACTAAGATTTTGATCACTTGAGTAAGATTAGTATAAGATCTTCTCCAGACTGCGCTGAGATTTTGCCGTAATTCGTGCAGGGTCGATTTCAGGTTCTTCAGATTTCTTCAATGTCTTATTCTTCATATAATGGAGAACCTACCTTGCTCTTCTAAACATGCTCTGGTATTTGCTCGAGCGAGTATTTCGTTTTACTTCGCATGTGGGGTAAATTTTTTGTTCTGTTTTCCGTTGTCAGAGAATTTTAGTCTTTCTCGCTTTTAAGTTCTAATTTTTTCTTTTCTTTTAATTGTTTCCAATTGCACAGATTTTTTGTTATTAGAACGTATGTAGTGTGCATAGAAAGGATAAAACATCAAAGCAAAGAAAAATGACATAAGAGTCATTGCAGATAAGCTATGATCAAGTACTGCAGAAGCTTCTCAATCGACATTCCCCAAACGTGATTTCAATTACACAGGTCAAAAGTACAATCAATCGTAAGTTTTTTGCGCAAATCGCAGCTGTACAACCCAAGTAGTTATTGAGATATTCAAGTTTTAAGAAAAGTTGCCGCGGTCTTGTGTTAAGAAGTGCCATAGAAAATACGGCACAGCTCGAAAATGGCAATACACCGAATGAATTTATATTCGTAACGTGAAAGCCTGTAACTCTGTCGTCCAGGATCGTAGAAACTTCAATAACATCTCATTTTGTGGAGAAGTGAAGGGGCTATCCAATGTTATGGTTGAAAAACGTCTGAAACAAATCTGAAGATAACGGACTTTTATAGAAAACCGGATTTTTCAGAAATCTCTATCTCAAGACTCCAAGGCGTAGCATAACGTTTCTTCATGCAAATACATAGAAATCGACGCGCTCTTCCATTTGATACCAAGTTCAAAGTTCCAGGTTGGGCAATGTAGTTCGCAGACATTTTACAAGTTCGGCCGAAGCCACCGGAAAATGACGAAAACACATTTATCCGCTGTGAGAATAAAATGGCTATAACTTTTTTTTCTAACAAGGCTAGAGACTTATGGTTTTCACCATTCGATTCAGCTTGCCGAGCTCTATAATATGAGATAGTTCTCGTCACTGACGTCAAAGGTCTATGCAAATGGTGATAGGTTTTATATGGATTGAATCTACGCGTCGATGGCGAAACTTCACTAAAAATTCAATATCTCACGTTCCTCTTGGAAGTCCAAAGTTTTTATTTTGCCGTTTTATCACTCCACTCTTCCGGTATCTATTCTAAAAGGTTGAACCTTAATGAGCTGGTTACGCACGAGATAATGAATGGTGAAGTAGTAGCGGTAGTACCATCTATAACTCGTGTAAAATTTTTATTTTTGTGACTATAATTTTACGCATTTTTGTGACTATGCGCAAAAGTACGGATTTTTACGCCTTCCAGTAAGAACGGGTTCCTATTGATTTGAAACGCGTCCAGTCGAGCACACGTTCCTAATCAATAAGAACCCGTTCTTAGAAATAATGCGTTCGAACGCGTTCTATGACTGTAAGAACCCGTTTTTAAAAAGACGTACGTAAAACTCTTAACGTTTCTTTTCCTTTAATTTATTTACCTGCTAACTTTCTGAACTGCTACGACTTTTCGGCTCCCACTTCGGGCATGGTAGTGGGAGACAATGTATGTAAAACAGAAACGAAAATAGTTGAAGGCTGCTTTTATCCATAGTCAGTATCTTCTTGAAACAGCTCTTAATAATCAATGAATAAGAGTGTTAAATGATGAATAAGAACTACTCATCAATTACCGTTATATTTACCACTACGATTATATAACGAAACATTTATGTCTATATAATCACCGTACTAGTTCAGTTAGGTGAAACTAGGAAATATGAATGCAGCGCAAGTATAGCCGCTGTATAATATTTATTTAGTCCTTTATCCGCCTTAGTCACTGGAGTAACCATTTGTAAATCGATGGCAAAAAATTAAGAAAGCATGAAATTTAAAAACTTTGGGGAGATGTCAAGTAGCGAAATCCATAAGTTATCGATTGGTAAAAAAAGTATTTGGTTCGTCGGTTTGTCTCCGAAAAAGATGAATTACAAAATCGATAACTTTTGAAAAATCACAATCATTCAATTTTTTCCGGAAAATATTTTCTGCCAACAGGCAAGATACATCTTGATAACCTATTGTGTGGTATGTAACGACAATAATGTCTACTACCAAGATCAATGCCTTTCGAAAGTTTCAGAAACGCCAGGTAGATAAGAGATGGTATGACACAGAATGGTCACTGGAGTGTCCATTATAGAGAGGGGGCGACGGAAATGACTTGAAAAACTTCTATTTTGGGCTTTTTCGTAAAGGATGAATCCCCATTTGCTAAGGATATGGCGCATTTTATTTGCATGTTTTTTGTACTCAAAATCGATTGATTCTAATATTTTACGATGCGCTGAATAATTTCGTGGAGCTAGAATGGTTCCAGATCTCATAGAAAAATTTTTAGACCCATAGTACTTTTTAGGTGTATGCGGACATGTATCATGTGCAAAGAACAAGATCTGTTGAGTTACAGAAGAAGAGTGAAGCCGAAAATAATACAGATTCTAAAGCTGGCTTCCTCTTCTATAAAATGGAGAATAACACAAAGTTCGAATATTACATAGACAGGGAGCAGAGAGGAACGAGCTCGCCGATGTCAGGATCACTGATACATTGAGATACAAAGTATTTATTATTTCAGGAACGAAAAGAGACGACAAGAACCATATATTGACCGCAAATAGAACAGATGAAGCTCTACAAAACTGACATATCCACTCGCTTCAAATTCACGTTCTTTTAGCACAATAGTCACAAAAATGACATGTGGATCAGAGATGCCATCTGTCAACAAAATCTTGACCGGTACCGGCTGGTCACCGGTCAAATGTGGCGACTGGAGGCCGGTTGACTGGCCATTTTTCACAAACTTTGACCGGTAAGCGACCGGTGTCTTTTGCTTTCTGTTCGATATAAATATGCTATTTTCTGTCATATGTTTTAGTTATGAGCCAAGTCAATCGGCCGGTTGATGACTCTCAACCGGACCGGGAACGGGCGCCCGATCCGATTGCATCTCTGATGTGGATAGTAAAAATGCCTGCAGAACACTCCTTTGGTCATTTTTCTGTCATAATGAAAAATTATATAACTTTTAAGAAGACACTGTTCGATAGCCGTCGAAATTCTCTACAAACTGAGCTAGTCAGAATATCTGGAAAGGCAAGGAGAGTCATTAAAGATATGCAAAAGAAGCGTTTAGGTGTTATATATGCAGCACAGTGTGTTATAATCATAAGAACTCCTTTGTTTTTGATTTTTCAGTAAAAGCTGATGAAACCAACCTATTTTTACAGTGAATAGAAGAGATGAAGCTCTACAAGAGGACTGTCTTAACTTGATCTGAATCCACGTTCTTTTTGCATATCAGAGACATCAAGTCACTATGTAGAAGAATTCGAGAGTTTGTTTCTCGTTATGAGTGTTCATGTGACTTAGAACGCAAACTTTAAGAAACTATTTGGCTTTGCAATGAGTCCATCTCAAACAAAAAATGTTTTTGATCCAACCATATGAAAGAGCTCATCGCTAAACCTAAGCAAAGCCATTTTTTAGGTTTTAGAAGAGGTTTTAAGCGGGTTTTAAACGTGCAAAACTTAAAACTGCAACGGAAAAACGAGTTTTCGTACTTATGCGTTTTGTGCGACAAAATGACTGTTTTCTAGGTACTCGACGGTTTTGAAAAAAATGGTTTTGCTTAGGTTTGGCGATGAGCACTTTCATATGGCTGAGTCAAAAACATTTTTTGTTTCGAAACGTTTTCCAGCTTGAAAATCGGGTAAACCTCTAAACTAAAATTGAGCTCAAACCAATGTGATATTCGGATTCAGCACACTCGATTACCTATTACCAAAAGCGTGTTATTTACACTTTTCGACCGAAAACCTTATCGTATAAAGTCAAAAACCAATTCCCGCAATAATAGGTATACAGACCAATACACAAGTTTTTATGGGTCTTTTTTGTTATCTAGATCATCAGTACAAAACAATATTTTCCCCTCAGTAGTTTTGACAACGTACGCATGGTAGGAAAGAAATTATAGAGCGGTAGTCAATAAAGAAAAAGTTACATTACTTAACAGAAAAATGTGAAATATAATAGCAAAATATCACTAAAACACACCTTTATGTCTACACGTAAAACTAAAGATAAAATTGTATGTAGGAAAGAAATCTATGTATGATGGAATATTATTAAAATGCGTACGCTATCATTTAAAACTCTAATTTTATTAATTAACCATACGCGATAAATTAGAGTTTTAAATGATGTGTAAGGTTTTAGACAAACTCTGTCAGTTTAACAAAAAATGTAACATCTTAGTGACGAAACGGAACCGAAAAAGGATAAGTAACTTTTTTTGATGTCACTGCGATGGTCAGAATGGCAGAAAAAACAGCGACTTTATCTTTTTGACTAAAGAAAGTCGGTCGATGCCTTTACAAAATCGGTTAGAAGCACTTTTTTTCTACGTCTATCCTCATTTTTGATTTAAACTTTTTAATTTAGGGTCCTTAAAAATCCCGTTTTAATATTAAAGTTTTGATGTAGAATACCGATAAAATAGTTTCAAAATTATCACTATATTACAAAGCAGAAAGTTTTTTTCTTCGCTTATTTTTGAGTTCTAGGCTGTTTTAAGGATTTTCAAAATTTAAGGTTTTTAAGTTGTCTCACTTAAAAGTTTTTTTCTAAGGATAAGACACACATATTCTTGTTCAGCTCGATGAGCTCTATTCAACTACTATAAATATAGTTAAACAAAAATTCCACTTGAATTTTGAATTTCTCGCATCGTATTTCCCGCAGCAGAAACAGCTAATTTTGAGATTTTTCCGATCTTCACCAATTTTTGTTGGCTTTGCTGATTTTGATCGATTTTCACCAAATGAAAATAATAATAATAATAATAATTGTCCTTTTTCTTCATCGGATTGAAGTTAGGGACGAGAGAGTTAAACGCCATTCGATCTTATTTTTTGATTTCCTTTCCCACTGTCCAACTGGTATCCGGTGACCAAATGAAAAGTCACCGGAAATGACTGGAAGTCAATGAAAATCACAGAGAATTACAGAGGATCACTAAGAATCACTGAAAATCAATTGATTTTGTGTAATTTTCGACTGATTTTGGCCTGATTTCAGTCAGCTGTTTCCCCCTTGCTATTTTATCTAACTTTTCTTGGGATTTCATTTTTATATCATTAATGTTCGTATTCTGGCATCAAGTCAATGCGTATACAAGAAGCAAAGATCAATACAAGTAATGATGAGCTTATATATACAGTAGAATCGGAAAAAGAAAAGCAACGTAAACGTTTTCGACAAACACCAACGAAAAATTTATTATATAAGAAGCGAAAATTGCGTCAAACATTCGAACCAAAACAATTAACTGCTGCTGATATAAAAGATCATTTTACTTGGGCATTATTATCAACAATACTATGCTTTTTTATTATCGGTCCTTGTGCTGCATTATATTATAGTAGATGTATAAAAAAAATGATTAAAAATGGTGAATATATTAATGCTTATCAAATTTCTCAAACAGTATCTAGTTTATTAATGGTATCAAATATAATTGGTGCTATGATTGGGATCGTAATTTTTGTTCTCTCTGGTCTTTTATTTATAACTGGTTACTCTCTTAGTTGACCATAACAGTACTCAAATTAATTACCAAGACGGTGTTTTTAACCGACCATAGAGAAAGACTATTTCATATTTCCCGTCACTCACTTTTTTATCCAAATTGGTCTACTGTGTTTTATTTACATTTTTCTTTGGTTTTACACAACCTGACAAAAAAATAACATCCTCGTGATCTCAAAATAGTTAGCTGTATTATATTCTCGAGAGATTTGATAGAACATTGTAAGTATCGCCATTTACTAGTAAGCATTTCATGTCACATGTGTACGATGTACGTTTCATGGTTTTCTGCCCATACCACAATTGACATCATATGTTAATATGCGCCCATTTAATACACGCATTAGTGTGGATGAAGTGTTTAAAGACGAATTGACGAATCGCAATATTTGAGCATAAAAATGATATAATAATTCGCATTTTACTATTATTTCCCGAATTTGTAATTCAGTGCGAACTGATACGAACTACAGAAATGATGAAAAAATAGCGAAAAAGTGCCTCTTTTGTTCCTCTTGCCAATTCGTAAACTGGGACGAATTCGTAGGCAAGAAATTTCGGGTACCCACGAATTTGTAATAGAATCGGTCGACTATCGACGAATTCGTGAAATGATCTTTTTGGTCCTCAAGAATTCGTATACGAATTCGTAAATTAGCAAAAATACGACAAAATGCAAATTTATGAATTCTATTTACGAATTCGTAGATGCCAAAGCATATCCGACGAATTCGTAGATAGAATTCGTAAATTCGTATACTTCTCACCTCAATTCGCCGCTATTTTTAAGAACTCGTAAAATACGAATTGATGTCAAGGACGAAAAATAGATATAGGCAGATAGATAGATAGATTCGTCTCTTCGCATCAATTCGCATACTTCGTATATCAATTCGCTCTTATTTTTGCAAATTCGTAAAGTCAATGACAAGAAGTTTTTCTATGAGGTTAAGAAAACAAAGAATCGCCTGTTCACACCAATTCGTTCAATTCTTTCATCACTTCGTCGATAGTTTTTCGTGAAGAAAATAGAAGGGAATCTCTCTCCTTTCTGTGTGCATGTGTGGGAGAAGGGAGACAGTGAAGATGGCTATGAGTATTTACACAACAAGTCAAACGTGTGAACGAAGAGACGAATCTATCTATTTTTGACCTGATAGAAATGCTTCTTGTCCTTGACATCAATTCGATTTTGCGAATTCGTAAAAATAATGCCAAATTGATATTAGAAGTATCCATTTTCAATCACTAGGTCAGTCCGTAATACGAATTCGCATTTACGAATTCATCTAGTTCTAAAAGCAGTGAACACTTCGTAAACTAATTTTACGAATTATTTGTGAATTGACCAGCATCGTGTTTGATCTATTCGCATGTTTAGGAATTCGTAAGATGAATTCGTTAAAGTTTTTAAGAGTATCCGTACGAATTCGACACAGTTCGCATCAATTCGCTGAGAATTCTCAGAATAAGCGTAAAATGCGAATTATTGCATCATTTTTACGCTTAAAAATTGCGATTCGTCAATTCGTCTTTAACGGCTGTCACGAAAGTTTCCGTACAAAATGTTCAGGCTGACAAAGTCACCTAGATGGCTCATTTTAAAAAAAGATTTGACACAGTTTTGTAGCCCGTTCAATTCTCTTTCTAGACGTATAATTTTTTTTCTGAATATGACTTCTATTGTTTTCAAAAAAGTCGATCTTCGAAAACGGGTGTATT